TGGACATACTCTTAGACCTTTAACCCATGACATCAGAAGGTAAATCCTCTAACTCATGTTAATATGTTTCTTTTTTTGGTCAGTGATGCGAATGTCCCTTTGTAGGTGATTTTTTTAATTCTCTACCTGTCTGTTTTTTACAGATTTTTTTTTCAAATTAAGGTAATTTTATCACAGACTGAACACTCCTTGAAATGGAATTGTTACAGAGTTGTCATTAGAACCCAGTAGATTGCAGAAACTGCCAGCTGTCAGACCAATTATTGCACCAGCTATTTTGTAAATTGTGATTAGACAGAAAATGAGTACTTTTGAACTGATTCTAACACTAGTGTCTGGCTTAAAAAAAGTTACTCAAATATTGTCCAGGATGCTAGACATCGCACTTTAGAGAGTTTCAAATTTTACATTTTTTTCAGACCCCCCTAGACAGGCAGTTTGCTTTGCAACATGCCATGCTTGCTACACAAACATAATTCAATTAAGCCACCTACTCAGTTCAGATCATGCATCTATTACATTGTTTGATGACAACCCTGTGTTATTCAATAACAGTATCATTTAATGTAACCAGGACATTGCATAATCTGTCCTTCAGTTGGCATTAAACATTAGTGATCCTTTACACTCGTCATTATGATTATTTCCCATTTATGAGTTATGTATTTCTTTCCTTTTCAGATGTTGAAGAGATTCCTAATGAAGATGAAGAAGCCATGATGAAAATGATGGGATTCTCCAATTTTGATTCAACTAAGGTTGTTGTGATCTTCAATACACCAGTTATTTTAACTTAGTACCTAATAGGGTCAAACCTTGATTATCTCGACTTGTGGGGACTGGGCTTAAAGTTTGGATCATGGAGAGTGCAGTTAGCTTATAATTGTTCGTAGATAATGGGACCAGAGCAAGTCCAGATAATCAAGGTCCAGATAATCAAGGTCCTGATAATCAGGGTCCAGATAATTGAGGTCCAGATAATCAAGGTTTGACAGTAAATGGAGGCATTTCTTCACAAGAAAGCAAACTAAAAGACTTTTACAATGATTGTGTTTCCTTTCCAGGGTAAACATGTGGCAGGAGCATGTAATTCAAGCTACTCCAGTGTAAAAAAAGCTAACAAATACAGGTAACTGCATACAAGTATAAGTCTAATGTCTTCTTATTTTAATATTTTACATACATACATACATACATAACTTTATTTGATAACGCAGGTTAAAATTTGCGCAACTTTACAGCTGATGTGGACCTGCCTAAACTAATTAGTCTATAATTATATAAAATACAGATATGATAAAATTTATAAGTTGAATAAATCAAGTAAACCATAAAGTTTTAGTAATAGTGAAAATTTGGTTTCATGTTTTGTATAACATTACCTCCCTTTTCAAAATTAATATTCATAACAGTTTGCTTGGATTGTTTTAAGTTATATTTAAAAATAGATAAATTTGGAGAATCTTTAACATTATCGGGAAGTGCATTCCATGCTACTGCAGATCTATGAGCAAAGGACCTACGACCCAATTCGGTTTTGGGCCTATTAAGTACAACATTCAGGGATTTCCTTAGGTTATAACTGTTAGAGTTCTTGGTCACCAAACAATTAATTTCCCGCAACCCTAAATTATAATAAGCATTATATGTAATAGTTAAGATACGTAGCTTATAAAAATACTCTAAAGGCATCCAGCCAACCTTAGAAAGTACATCATTATCCCCAAAACTATTTGGTATCTTATGAATTAGCCTGGCAGCCCTGATGTGAATCATTTCTAGATCTTTAAGCTTGGATCCAGACCCCCAAATTGCAATTCCATATAGAACACTTGGTATAACTATCCTATAGTAAAAAGTCTCCAAGATAGATGTACATAGGAAATTTATACGTCTCAACATTTTAACTTTGGCATTAAATGCAGATCTAGCCAATGCAACATGCTGAGACCAAGAGAGTTTATCATCAATTGTAACCCCAAGGCAATTGGTGGAGGACACATACCGAATGGTGTCCATACCCCACTTCAGCTGTTTCAAAGGACCTATGAAGGGGGTAGTACTTAAGACCATTGCCTCGGATTTACCTTCATGTAGAATCAATCTGTTACTAAGACACCAGGAATTAACCTGGTCCAAAACAGCCTGTAACCCTGTTGTTATTTCATCAACAGTATTCCCTACTACATATATTGTTGTGTCATCAGCATACATATAGACTTCTCCACTGGTAATAGATTCAGGGAGGTCATTAACATGCAAACAATCTTGGTCCTAGTAAGGATCCCTGAGGGACCCCAGCTCTAATGGGGATTCTATCAGATCTAGACCCACTTACACTAGTCCCTTGTACACGGTTGGAGAGATAGTCATTGATCCATTTCCACATATCACCTGCCAAGCCAACAGCCTTGAGTTTCTCAGTAAGAATACTGTGGTTGACACAATCAAAAGCTTTGCGGAAATCAATGAATAAGACTCCAACCTTATGGCCTCTATCCAGGGCACTCCCCCAGGACTCAGTGAGATGAAGGAGGAGGCTCTCCGTTGAATAGCCCCTCCTAAATCCCCATTGTCTATCTGTGAGAATGCCATTGGATAACATGTGATCATCAAGTGAGTCACACACTACCTTCTCAAGAAGCTTTCCTGGTGTACTAAGCAAAGATATAGGTCGGTAATTGTTAGGATCCAGCCTGTTCCCTTTCTTAAAAACAGGTGTAACTAATGACTCCTTCCATTGTTGAGGGAACTTAAAAAAAAAAAAAGATTTAACCCTTAACAACTGGCCTGTGTGTTCAACATGTAATTTCTCCTTGCACTATCAGTACATTATCCTGGAAACAGGTAATAAGAATGCTGAAGTTCATCAGAAAGAGGATTTTACTCTTGATATAACATGATTCTGTTGCAAGTAGAAGAAAGAATCATGAGTCACATTGATCAAGCAACAATAAATCCTTTTCACCCTAACATCAGTATCCATATTTTCCATACTTTTCTCTATACATTTCCTTTGGTATTGACATAGAGAATTTTTTTTTTTTACAATAAAGGCTTCTGACGTTAGTGATTATTTCCTATATTCTCATGATCTCAATGAATGATTTGATAAAAGAGGAAAGAAGTATAACTGTAAGGAGAAAATACTACTACTGTAAGGAGAAATTATGTGTTGGTCACCCCAAGGGTTTCAAGAATTAATATTTCCCTTGGTAGAAGAGAGGATCATTGCAAAACAAATATTTGGCTCCCAGGAGAATTGAGCAGAGTTTTTTCTTTGCATTTTTCAGAAGGTTGACTGTATCATATTCATTTTGTGTTGCTTCTTCTTCAACAGACAATACATGAACAGAAGAGGAGGGTTCAACAGACCACTAGACTATGTTAATTAGTTAGTTGTTGTTTTTTTGTACATCCAAGTCACTCAGGGCAAGCAAGTGGGTCTGTCATGAGTTCCATCCATATTTCTCTTTTGACCTGATGTTGTAGTTAAGTTCTAACTAACAGAAATCTAGGGCATACTATTCTCAATCCTTTTTGTTTTTGAATATGTTTCATATCACCTTTTCAAAATATTTTAACCCTCAAACTCTCTGGAGTTTCTTCCAAATTTTCAATGTATTATGGAAGAAGAAGATAGTGAAAAAGAAACAAACCTGTCAGCCAAACGGTACTATGTTGTACCTTGACCTAACTTTCTTGATTAATTTAGAAAAGAGAAGTTCTAGGTGTAGTCAATTTTTTTGTAGTTGAAGGGTTAATGTTCTACCCTTTTCATTTGCTGTTTTTCAAAATCTGTTTGTTTTTTGTTGTCTCTGTTTCAAACTGTGGTACTCATGGCCACTTTTTCTTTAGTAACTATAGCTTTATGCCTCATTTCCTTGTTATAAAATTTTCAAGGCCAGCATTGTATATAACTGTATGTTATTTTGAAAAACAAAAAATAAAGCATTTCTGAAAACTTTGATTCTTAATCATGTCTCTGGTGTTAGGGTCAATTTTGAATGAGGTAAGTTAGTGAAACATTTGCTGTTGAACTCAGAATACTGTATATTGTGATTACCATGTCATGAGCAATTACACTGGAAATCAAGACATGTCAGAGAACCACAAAACTGTACTCTAGTTATTGTTGCTGCCTTTCAGTTTTGTTATCTTGGGTCTGATCGGCCCCTTTTCCATACAGCATCAATCCAGAAATAGTTCTAGTGTCTAAGGATTTTCTGGTCTCCTTTGCAGCTGTTCTAAACAGCGGATGGTTTGCAAAGGTTAACAGTTATTTCTTCCTGTGGTGTTCCTGCAGTGTCATCACACCTGAAATTTTTCTTTTTGTAATTTTCAAACCGTGATGCATGACATTTCTTAATTTACCTTTAATTATCATTTGAAATTAGTTATTTTTCTCTCCAGAATAAATGAAGGTAGTGATAATATGTCACTCTTTGCGGTCACTCTTTGTGGAGAGAATGGCCACATAAACTGGTAATTAATGTCTTAGGGGTGAAGGGTAAAAGGGTTGGAGTAAAAATCCTTTTTACAATTATGATCAAAAACAGCTCCTAAAAAATTAATGTTGACATGCTCTGATGGAAGCTTTCATCAAAAATAAAGGGCTGGTCATATAATTCACTTTCACCATGACAAACTAAGTTTACTAATGATTTTAATAAAATTACTGAAATACTTGATACAAATTTTTTTTGTAAATAACAAAAAAAATTAATGATTAGGAAAAGAGTGGCTCCATGTGACAGAAAACTTGCTCTGAATTGTGGTTGTAGGCATGTGTCAAGGTCTGTTAATATAAGATTCCAACTTATAGAGTCTTTTCAGGCTAATGTTTACCTAACAAATCTAGTGTCCTTTTTTTATTTTTGTTCCTTATTTTTATCATATTTATACAAGGAAATGGAAGAAAATGTTCGGTGGTGAAATGGAAGAAAACTGCGATTTAGTTCCCAGTCTCCTGTCATATTACATTGGTTATCAATCAAATATTCATGAGTTTAGACATAGGAGAAACTTCAAAAATGGCGATGGAAGCGGCTCCAACTTCCCCGCAACTGACAAACTATGCTGCGCAGAATACCGCGACAGTCACTCACACGGTCCCTGCATCGCATACAACTGTAAATCTCATTCAGCCTGATCAGGGAAAAGGTCTCTATATCGTCGATCCTTCCCAGCAACATGCCTTACAAATGTTCGGAAGTCCTGATCAGAGAACGTTTATGGCGAACCCCGTTGAATTTAATCCTACGGCCGGAACAATAACCACAACCGCTGTTTCTAATGGAAATGGACAAATAACCATGGTAAGTACTGTTAAATAGCTTCTCACATTCAACAAGAGTTTTAGGCCAATAGAAATCACGTCGGAAATGGCGAGGGAAATAGTCGACTCGTGTTCGATCCTTCTCCCAAAGATGCGGTGCTGTTGTTGTGCGCCATTTTGAGGGCTAGCGGCGTGAATTCTTCGCATGGACCACGAATGAAACCCATCACATCACTAATTTTTGTGAGCTTTAGAGTTTACCTGGTCTCTATAAATTGAACCTGTCGCTGAAAGTCGTGAATTTAAAACCGTCCAATCGAGAAATATCGCCCGAACTGCGCCCCTATTGGTCTAAGCTCTGGCAATGTGCATGAGTGGACTTTTGTTTGTATTGAAATGAGTAAACGCGCATCTGAAAAGGAACTTACATCGATGGATTTTCACATAATGATCACATGTAAGTGATTTCGTTGTACTAAGGGAAAGAACATTTTCCCAGTAGTCCGCTCTTCACGAAAACTGCCCTCTTATCTTTCGTGAATCGTAGTTTTCGTGCCTTGAATTTAATAAACGGAACAGCTGTTTTTTGAATGTGAGCAATATACATGTGTATTTTTGTTTTTAGGTAATCCCAGTTTATCGCTCTCTTATCGCGTAACGATGATTAAAATATCGAGGATTACTTTAATAAGGTTTAAAATACATTTACAGTTTTCCGTACTGACCATCGATAGAAAGTTTTCTAAAAAGTTTTCGAAAAATTGAACGAACACTGTGACTCTATCTTAATATCAGTTTGTCACAAAGGACCATCGGGAAACTTCTTTGTTATTTTCGCCCTCCTAACTCAGCTTCACTCTTTAGTATTGCTGGTTAAACTTGCCTATAAAATTAAATTTACACTAAAAAATATCATAGAGGCAAGCATTATTCACATCTTTCGACAAACTGAAAAATATAATTTATTTATAGTACATTTAAGCACGGTGGAACTGTGTATATATATATATATATATATATATATATATATATCATACTATATATATATATATATATATCATACTAGAAGTTTTGGTGTGTAGTATCACTGTGTATTTTTACAAGTTGTGTTGTATTTTGCCAAGCCTGTAGGGTAAGTCAAAATACAAACAGTGAGTAAAAATACTTGGCGATACTACATGCTAAAACTTCTAGTATGATACATAAATACATATATTTTTTAAGGGAAATATGTAGTAGCTGAAAGGGAGAATTGACAGTCAGATTGTGAGAGTGAAAGGGTAAAGAAACTATGGTGCTGCATTGGTGGGATATTACAAGTTTATTTGGTTTGATCAACAGACTTGATGATGTAAATTGGCCACTGTTAAGAGTTTCAAAGCTGACGTATTGTGCATTAAAACTCTGATGAAAAGCTCCAAACATCAGCTTTAGAAACTATTTACTGTGGCCAACTTACATTATCATCTCAGTTGATCAGACCAAACTATCTAACTCTTTTGTAACTTATTGTAGTAATTTTTGCTGAATGTACACTGCAGACCCATGTCTGGTGAAATTTGTTATTGACTCCAACTAACTGGTTTATTTTTTAAATGGTTACTGAAATAGTGAATGGCAAAAATTGATAATTTTTTTGGAGTATGTGATAATGTTCTGCTGCAACTTTGTGCTGCCCTTGAAATGATTAGTCTGAAGAAATGAAGCAGCTTGAAGAACCCCTGAATGTACAGATTAAGATTTCCTTTGACATGTTTCCAAACTTCTCTTTATTTTGTTTGTAACAGATGAATGGCCAGGCTCTTGGAGCTCAGAGACTTCCAGTTGCCATGGAAACTTTGGATGAACCCCTTTATGTAAATGCAAAGCAGTACCATAGAATAATAAAAAGACGGCAAGCAAGGGCAAAGCTTGAAGCTGAGGGAAAAATACCCAAAACTCGAAAGGTTAGCTTGATCTAAATCTGTTTCTGAACTACTCTAATACCTTGACTCCCAAAAGTGATTGTGACATGTAACTCTTCTCTTTTAAAATCTATTCATTATCCAGCTGAGAGATCATGATTGAGAATAATTAAACACAAAATTCTTGGAACTAATTTACAAGGAAATGTGTAGCAGCTAAAGGGGAAAATCAACAATCAGATTTTGGGAGTATAAGGATTAAATGCAACTGACATTTGGAGCATCAGCTCTTTGTCATTTGCTCTGATGAAGGGCTAACACTTGAACTGTCAGCTTTGAAACTCTTTTTGGTGGCCAATTTGTGTTATCATTTCAGTTAATAATACTAAATTACTCTCCCACCAGTGCTGCACTACAGTTTCTTTAGATAGTTTTTAGTGACTGTAAAAGTGTGCATTAGATGTTTTTTTTTTCCTGACTTGATCAAACCACTGCACTGCACATAGCATGTTTTATTTTGCTGAATTTATTTTTGGTTGGTTCTTTCATGTGAGCAATCCAAATAGCAAATTGTCATTAATTTAAAAGAACTTCACACTTGTGTGTGATGTTTTTATGACCACAAAGTAACTGTAGACTAATGAAGAAAAAAAGCAGTGCAATGTTGTTTAGCTTCAAAAGTTACTTGTATTTGTTAGAAATATCTCCATGAGTCAAGACACCAGCATGCATGCCGAAGACGTCGCAGCAATGGTGGTAGATTTATAACAAAAACAAATGAGGATGGGACAATTGTTCAAGAGGAGGACACTGGAGAAGGTCAGGTTTATCAGGAAGGGATGGTTCCAACACAAGAACACAGTGCCCAAGAACATGCCTACAGCAATGTTGTTCCTGCTCCTGAATCAAACAGAGTGCAGATGACCCCCCAAGGCCCTGAGCAAACAGAATAAGGTGATTATTAGATTTAAACTTCTTACCCTCAGATTTGCATCTGTTCATCAATTTTCCTCAAGGAAACTTATTGCACATATCTCCTCTTAACAACAAAGAAGAATATTACAAGAAGTCAGTGAGAACTCATATAGAGTGTTTGTGGTATATCTCAGTGGACCTCTTGAGCTTGTTTGTTTTTGTCAACCAATTTAGGTCTCAAAGGAATTCCAAGCGTTATCTTTTATAAATTATGCATATATATGCATGCGAGTTAGAGGAAATCTGAAAGAAACATTTCTCTAGAGTATTATCAAATGACCTGAAATGGGTAAACAAAACATACAAAATGAAGAGGTCCACTGAAGGAAAAAGGATGACTTGGCCGCCTTTGTTTTGATTTTTTTCTCTTCTTACCTTGAGAAAGTGTTGCAAGTTTTCTAGACCAATGGCAGAGTTAATCCTTCACACCCTCACATCAGTATTCATATTCTCTACACTTTTCTCTGTACATTTCTTACCATGCTGACAAGGAGAATTTGTTTAAAAATCATGAGCTTCTATAATTGGTGATCATTTCCTTTATTCTCATGATCTTAATGTGTGATTCAGGGGTGATACTGTAAGGAGAAATGAGATGCTGGTCACTTTGGGAGATCAAAGGGGAAAGGCAGTGAGGTTCATTTAATTTACTGCTTGAAATTTTGTTTTGGCTATTGATTAATGTAAATTTACATGTAAATGCATTGTACATGCATTGTGCTTGTTTATATGTATTTGGTAATGTGACAACCTTCCTACCATTTTGACTTAACTGTGACTTTTCTGTTTACAGATGCTGTTTTTTTCCACAGTACAGAGTACTAGATGATAGTTTTATGGATTGTTTTCATTTGATGTATAGTTGAGTATTGTGCAAGTGACCCAGATTTTCAGAATGTAAATACCAGTACACTTGAGCTTGTAGCTATCAGTTATATAATGTAATACTTAAAACATCAATAGGAAGCCACTGTGTACCACAGGAAAGCATTGAACTTAAAAGCATTGTTAAAAACTATGAACTTAAGTCAGCTTTAAGGTAGACAAGAGTAGATATGGATGTCCATCAGTTTTTTTATGATATGAATAAACCTTAAAAGCTTTAACCCCCTGAGGTGAGAACTTGTAACTTTTCTTTATAGTATCATTATGCTTAGTTATCCTTGTGCAAAAGGCATACTTTTCTGAAAGAAAACCAGCTTTTTAAAGATCTTGTAGCCTCTCATTTGATTAGTGAATGCAGGCTAAGTCATGTTGTGACTTGTTTCAAGAAACAATTTTAAATTTCTTCAATCTGTTTGTTAGATGGATCTGTTTATTAGATTTATCTATTGTCAGCTAGCAGATGGAAACAATCACTGGCCTGTTGCCTAGCACATGCTAAGCTCACAGTTAGTTGTGATAACTGAAAAAGTTGGTGAGCAAAGATATATCTAGGGTGTGGAGAAAAGTGAGAAAAACTTGACATGTAAGAAGTTTTTCAAAGGTACACAATCTCCTGACTTAGCCTTTGATTGGTGTATTTACATCAAGAACTTGTACTATCATCATTCACTCTGCCTGATTGGTGAGAGTTAGTCAAATGGCATGTATTTTAGCACAACAACTGGCTTTCCTTTTGCAGAAGGGCAAGGTGAAAAATAAATTTCCAAATCAGATACAGGCTGTCTTTGCTTGCCCTCTTTTTAGGTTGACTGCAGTTACTAAGATAAAGGGAGTAAGGTTTTTTAACCATTTCATTCCCACAAGTGACCAAGAGATAATTTTTCCTTACAATATCAATACAATATCAAGCAGGCAGGTGATGAGAATAGAGAAGAATATCAATCATGGGATTATTAGTTGATCCAATACCAAATTCTCTGAACTAAAATCATAAGAATTGTATGGCAGATAGTAAGGAGAATTACTAATAAGGTCTTGGGAGTGAAAGGGCTAAAGAAACTATGTCACTGCTTTGGTGGGGGGATTACAAGGTAGTTTTCTTTTACCAACAGAGTTGCTAAAGAAATAAATGTAAATTGGCCACTATAGAGAGTTTGCTAAGCTGATGTTTCAAGTGTTACTCCTTTTCTTTTTACTCTGACAAGAGGCAAATACTTGAAAAATCAGCTTTAGACACTCTCTACAATGGCCAATGTGCATTATCAACTCTGATGATATAACAAAATTATTGCAGTTTCTAAGAGCCTGACAAAGGCTGTCTGTTGTGAAGTGGCATCATAGATTTAATTGTTTAACGAGTCCTGATTCAGAATAAAGGATGGTTAAGATGGATAATTCAAATTGATGGTATACAAGTAAATTGATATTTTATGTAAGTAGCATATCACCCTATTTATTTTCCAGGAAGAAACCATATTGACTATTTCAGTCAAATCCATCAAAATTGGAGTGCATGTTTAATTCAAAGTCAGGCTGTTAACAACTATACGTGACTAAAAATAAAATTGTATCTCTTTGCTTTGTGCGGTTCAGTGATAGTTTTGTACAGACTGTCTTCCTTGTTATTTCATGAGTGAATGTTTTAATCAGTACTTTGTTTTTCTTCACAGATTGTTTAGTGTTTGTATTATATTTTTGCCAAGTTTATCAAAAACACCCCAGATAAAATTCAAGGGATTATTATCCACTTCTTCAGAAACAGCAAATCTTAAGAATATCCTTAAATTAAAAAATGCATGATTGGATTTTGGCTTGTGTACTTCTTAGCAGGGGCTTTTAGTCTGACGATTTGGGAGACATCGGAATTTAAAGTGTAGGCCTTGATAGGGAAGGAAAACTGAAAGATGAGGGAAATGAAGGATTCAGTTCCTCTCCTGAATAATATTTCAGTTCATAACTCCAATATCACGTCATCAATTACCTATTACGGCAGAACTTTGTAGCGTTTTTTCATGCTGCCCAGTTGTCCAGTCTAACAATTACTGATTTAGAACCGAATGGGGTCGAATCAAGATTGAACCACGCCCATTCTCTTGCACTGGTTTTAACTAAGAGGGTCATCAAAAACTTTCTGACCAGCAGTTACGTATGCGGCAGCCTGGGATCAAACCTAACACAGGGCACGGCAGAGAGAGTTCAACGACCGGAATATAACTCCTTGTCACTTAAAGTCTTATTAAGCCCCAGAGAGCGGCCTTACTATTATACTTAGCATACTCATACTCATACTTCTCACCACGTCTCGTTCTTAGATCGGGAAGAAGAGGCATTTTGGCATTGGTACATATAATGTAACATATATAACGTACATACCTAAAAAAAGAAACATCCAAAATGGCGCCTGCTTTGTCGTGCTTATAACCAAAAGGAGTTCTTCGTTTAATTGAAGAGTACATCGTCGTCGAACCTGGTGTTGATCAGTATTGGAGATGAGAAGTGAAACGAGGTGAGGAAGGTTTTCAACAGTTCTAGGTCTCGCGAATTTTCCAACCATTTAAAACATATGACAACCTTGTCCGGAAGCTAGGTGACATGATGTAGTTGTGTTACTAGCAGTGACCTTGAAGCTTATTGTGACATTTACTGTAAAGTTTTGGGTGGGAATTGATTTCAGTTTTTCTCGTGGATATCTCGGGGATTTTACCTATAATTATGAGAAAAAAGCAATGCGAGCGACAAGAATCAGACTGAATGAATAGAAACTTTATTTACCCACGGTATCTATCATCACTAAATGCTCTACCAAGGAGCCGTGCACTACAACTACGATTAGTGAAATAGCACTCTAATTATCATTAGTTAAAGACTTCATTTGCCTAAAAAATTTACATTAAAATATATTGCAAAAGATTCTATTCAATTTATTATTGAATAAAAGTTGCTTTGACAAGTGGCCTGTTTAGCCTCATTTATTGGGGTTTTTCCGCTAAACCGAAAACTTTTTAAGGGCTTCAGTGTTTGGTCTTGCAATGAACAGATCCAGTTGTGAGCTGCATGGCTTGACTTCATGGGATAATCTCATTATACTGTTAGACTACATGATCATTTTGCTTTTACAGGTCATTGAGAACAAGGAGGCTCCAAAATTACAGGAAGAGTTAGTGTGTGAAATACTTTAATCTACTTTCTAGGTAGACAAGAGGGTAAAATGTCCAATGGTGTGCCACTTCCATGGACGATACAAATCAGCCATTGAACAAAAATTCCTGGAGCAAGCAGAGGAAGAAATAACAAAGTTTTGTAATTCTTGTGGACTCCGAGATAACAGTGTTCTTGTCTTCCCTCCATTGGATGCTCACTATCGCTTCCTTATTCACCAGCTTGTAGGGGAAAGTTCTAGACTTCAGACAGTGTCAGTTGGGCAGGGGAGACAGAGAAGGATTGTGGTCTACTTCACCTCTAAAAGGTATTCTTAGTGTTCTCCTTTTCAGATGATGACAAGTAAAATTAACTGTTTATTAGTATACTACCTCTTATTACCATCTGAAATCACTTGGAATTCTCGAAAATTCAACTAGTAACAGGTTTTTCTGCTTTTTTGAAAATTTCTTTTATCTGTTGTGTTTAAAATAAAGGAGAACACAATGTATTCTATGAAATAAACTCAGTTGGCAAACAAGATATGCAATGTATTTTGACTTTGAAAGCTCACCCATGGAAGGGTATGCCAGAGCAAATACCAAACAAAGACATGAGCTGTGATGAGATTTTCATGGGTCATGTCTCTTTGCGGACCTCCTTGCAATGAGTACCTATTTTTTAAAAAATTCGTGCCTTTCAGCTGGAGGTTGTCCCCTTAATGTTAAACCAAATTCTTATAACAAATTTATAAGAAATTTATAGCAGCTTGCATGGAGGAAAGGATTTGTCTATCAGATCTTTAGAGTTAAAGGAACATACGTTACTAAGGCATTGCTCTAAAGTGACTCAACAATTATCAAATAAACATAAGTTTTTGTCATTATCTGATCCCCTTCAGTTTTGTATATATTCTAGGATATATATTTTGTAGGTTTATTGGTGAATTTGTTCCACTGCAAGTTTGCCCTATAACACCTTTGTGAGTTAGCCCCATAATGTGAAACAAGCCCACCCCACCCTTACCACACACTTCACCCCCAAATCTTTTGACTTGTTTCCCTACCACAGAATGTATAATAAAACCTTCAAAAAGTTTCAATCAATATGCAAATTCCAAACCATGTTAAAATGCACAATAATGCATAAATAATGCTAATCTGCCACAACTCCAGTCTTAATCTAACAGGTTTAATGCAATTTTGTGATTTGGTTTGCAACAGTTTCTAAGAACTGGTGATTTCATCCTACCTTCAAATTTCCCCCTTGGACCAAAAACTTCAACAGCATTGCATGAAAACATTTTGGCAAACACTTCTAGTTATTGAAAGTTGTAAGTCTCTACCAACTTAGACCCTGACAAGGCATTAGCCACTTGACTTAGTTTAGTTGGAAGTGTAACCTTTGTTCATGTTAATATTATTATCTGTACATGTTTTGTAAATTCAGATTACAAAGATTTACAAATTACAAAAATTTACAAAGGTGATAGGGGCAAACTTACTATGGAGCAACTTCACCAGTTACCATATGAATATTTTTGTCATATCATTGCTCCTCTGGGTTTTGAGGGCATTGCTGATTTATTTGATGTTCTCTTTCTCTGGCTCATCTTTCCAGGGTCACCACAGAACTCTGACCATGTCATTTAAACAAATCTAGCAGACATTTCAGTTCTCTCACATTACACATGGATCATTCTCTGTATTTTACAACACTGGATTATGTGATAACAGAAACAGCTTTGCCCTCAAGGGCATTGTGTTGCTTTAAATACAAATCACCAACTGGTGAATGTATAATTTTTATGAAAAGCACAATTCTATTGTGCACTATAAAGTTATTTTTATTTGGTTTCTAGAGATTCTCATAAGATGACTCAACCCCAGTCAAGAACAGAAAAGACCTTCTTTGGAAGAGGCAGAGGCAGGTAATTAGAAATTGGTAATATGCTAATTTATTTGATGTCCTTCTCTAAACCCAGAATATTTTATGAAATACTTGAAATTGATACAGCTTGTTGATGAACAAAGATTCTTCTGCCCGATTGAAAATGAACTGAGACATGAATTGTACAGCCTCATTATTTTTTGAAGTTTCCATGACTTTACATACATTTATTGTTGAGGAACTAGCCAACACAACATACTGATATCATTCTTGTGCTTGACATTATCTCTGTAGGAGGACCAAGAGGCCAGATCAGGCACTGTATGTACCAGGAGCACTTGGAAAAGCAAAGAATGACCAAATGAAGGAGAGTGCTTCTTCAGAAATTTCTAAGATAAATAGTGACATCAACGATGGTGTAACCCCATGTGCTCCAAAAGATGACAGTCACCCCAACAAGGAAAAACAGTGCAGTCAAACATGTGAATCCAAATTGAATGATACACTATGTCAGGATATACCTCTGTGTACTGAAGAACTGGTGGATGACATTGCAGCAGGAATAGATAGTACATCTTTGGTGGGTAATATGGAACATGCACGTACAAACATGGCATCAGATTTGTCTGTAAATGAGAGATTGCAGAATGTTGGTATTGGGGATGAATGGGAGAAAATAGCTCTGCCCAACAGCAGTAACAAGATAGAATTTCCTGAGAGCTCCAGTGAAGCTTATGACAAAGAATCAGTTGATTCGTTAGCAAAAGTAATCAATGAAAATGATCAAACTTTTGACACTTCCAGCCAGAGTAGGTCTTTCAGTCAGGAAAATTGTTGTGACAAAGATGTTGGTTTGGAAAATGGTCTTTCCCAGACATTCACAACAACAGGTAATGGAACAGTTTACAAACAAAGAATTGGCAAATGTATTGTAGACACTAAACATGACAGTTGCATTGAAATGGAAGAGAAGATTGTATCAGGGCAAAATCAAGGTACTGTTAACTCAACAGAAAATGATTCAGACAATTTAAACCTACTGAGAACTGAAACTCAATCCCTTAAGGAAGACTCTATTTCTAAAGGAAATTTTAATGATCCTCCTTTTGATGAACAAAAGGCAGAGACTAAAGGTAGAGTTGAGAAAAGATGTACTGACTTAGATTTACCAGTTGATGACTTTGAACCCGCAATATCTATTCTGAGCAGAGGTGATAATGCAAATGAGGCAAGGACTGGAATAGCTGCACTTCACAATGAAAGTGATAGTGTAAATCTTGATTCTGTAATAGAAGAAGGCTACAATGTTTTGTCAGATCCTGGTAGTGATCAGCAAGAGGAAAAAGTAATGAACAAAGAATTTTTGGATGATCATACTCAACCAGAAGCAACCTTAGAGGGTGTGGAATCCAGTTCTGTTTTTGGTGAAGGATTATCACAGCCTTGTGGTGCAACAAGTGATATGCCTGTAGTAAGAATTGGCCCACAAACATATCCAGTGAATGTTCAAATTGATCACCAAGGTCTGCCAATTAGTAATTATAATGCAGAACTAGATGAAGATGCTACACCAGTGGAATTGGGTAAGAGTCAGCCAAGTATGAGTAAGGAAGAAAGACTTGATGAAGCAGGGATAAAATCAATGGAAATGACTTCAGCATCAGTGTGTGAAGATGCTGAAAATTGTGAGAATCAACCATCAAGAACATTGGATGTTAGTCCAACCTCTTTGGTCCTTGAAAAAGATTCAGCATCACAGAGATTTAAATCAGATGTAGGAAATTTAAATGAGAACGCTGAAGAGTTGCATACTCAAACTGAAATTACTGGTGAGGAAGCCCATGAGGTGTGCGAAAATAAACATGGTGTTTCAAATTTATCAGTGACAGAGTTGAATGAAAATGTTGGTGAACCTGAGATGCAGCATGATAAGACATTAAAGAAGAAGAAACGAAAGAAAGATAAGGATGTTAAGGAGAATAAATCAAAATCCAAGGAAAAGGGTGAAAAAACAAAAAGAAAAGAAAAGAAAAATTCAAAAGAAAAAAGTGATAAAGATGAAAATTTCGATTCTAAACAAAAGGAGAAAAAGCATAAAAAATCAAAAAGCAAGGAAGAATCCCCAAAGCAAGGGGATACAGAAGATTTAAACGCATGTGGTAAGGTAATTGAGAGAGAAACTACTACTCAAATAAAGCCTCAAGCAGGATCGTCTATAGAAAAGAAGGACAATGATAGTGAAGATGATGATGACAACTGGGAATCAAATTTTAGTGAGAGTGGAGATTGTCTCAATCCAGAGCACTCTGAAGAGGTATGTATTTGTGACAGAAGGTAATTGATTGGAAGTGGAAGAACATTTAGCCATTTGCAGTAGAGTAACAGAACTTTTGGTCTTCTTAAATTAAGAGTTCATTTAAAAGGTTTTTCCTGAATGGTTGCTTGATTAAGGAAGTTACAATATGCATGAGCTTTTCTAGCTTGCAGCTAAGACTCGTTTGTTGTAGGATTTAGTGTTCCAAAGTTCTATTAATCTTAACTACCAGTTGTTGTTATTTATCTTTAATTATGGCATGTGTCAAAATACAGGCCCTTAATTTAATAGTATCATTTACTAAAACTACATCTATTGGACCTAACATTTCAAACTTAATTGTGCTATTTTCAAAATAACTGGCATTAATATTAAAATCATTCAAAGTAATATCTTTCAACCTTTTTGTCAATCTATTAGCTAACAAGATTGACTGGAATAGCTAATCCTGAGGTTCATAAGACTCAGTTTGATTTTTACTCCTTTACGCCAAAGGAAGTTGAACTGGATGATGAAGGTTTGTGCTTTTTTTAAATTCCACTTGGATTTATTATTAGAATGAGTGTTGACACCAATGAATCATGATGTGGCTTCTTTTGTCAAACAAGGAAGGTGAAAAGTGAGCTTATGGGTCACAAAGCCCATCTTGCCAAGCTTATCCCAGTTTCAGTAGCACTCCATCCCAAGGTTGACTCCCAATAATGGTGACAGCTAAGTGTCTTAAGATCACAAAACCATGACCCAGCCAAAACCTGAACCCAGACCTTCTTGCCATGACCCAAGCAAACCAATCACTAATCTGCAATTTCCAACACCATACTCATGGATTGTAGCACAGTGTAAAGCTATTAATAACACTTGACATTTCTTTGTGTATTTTTTTTTATGTACGGTAGTTCTTTTAACTTGATCAACTGTTTCTTAGAGTTTGGGCACATTGTGGAAATCTACAACTTTTCCCCTGATTTAAAGACTCAAGACTTGATGCAAGCTCTAAGTTCTTTCAGGTAATTTGCATAGCTCTATCCAATTTAAATATGGCTTCAATAGCCAAGTGAAAATGGGTATTGGCAAATATTTTCATTAGTTTTCCCACCTTTTCAGGCTCAAACAGAAACCATACTGGGCATTTACAGTGGGAAAATTTCCTTTCTAAGCATGCAGTTTTTCTTGCATACGTAGCAAAGCAAAAGACAAGCCCCATCAAAACCCAACTTTATCAATTATCTCTCAATTAGTATGTGTGATATTGGTTAGTTTAGCAAGTCATATTTCACTGTATGGCCTGCTGAAGTGAAAGGATGATTTTAGTTACCTAAAATCTTCATCCTCTATTTGAACCCAGAGATATTACAAATATTCTTACCTTGTTCTCATTAGTATCTTATGTAAGTTACAGAACCTTGTCCCTTTTTCTATTATTTAATTTTTTACCAAATTGTACAAATGTGTAGTAACTTACCATGCATATCTTCCAGAATTAAGAATAATAAAACATAATTATGTGGTTTGATTAATTCTAAACATCTCAAATTTGTATTGGTATTGGTTCAGAATAACTCCAATTGGTTATAATTCAGTTTTAAGCTTTAAAGTGCAAAATAACCCTTATTTTCAGAAGCAAAGGATTTGACATCAAATGGGTGGATCACACACATGCTCTAGCAGTGTTTTCAAGTCGGCATGCGGGTTAGATTTATCTACAGGGTGATTTGGTATTATCAACTGAATTGATAACATAAATTGGCCACTGTAAAGAGTTTCAAAGCTTATGTTTCAAGCATTAGCCTTTCATCAGCAAGGGCTGAATGAGTGATTGTTTTGCTCCAATGGAGGGTTAATGCTCAAAACGTCAGCTTTGAAACTATGTGCAGTGGCCAATTTACATCAGCAACTCTGGTGATAATACTAAATCATCCTGTTATAATCACTCACTGACACAGCACCAGTTTCATTAGAAACTTACCCCCTCTATAGATTTATGTACACATTCACATTGGTATAACTTGCTCAGTCTGTATTTCCCAAATGTAATTCCCTGGCTTATTTATTAGAGCCCTCCTTCTAATTGAAACTGTATCAGTAAAACCCCCTTCTCCTCCATGGGCAGTTCTCTTAATACTCAGGCCTTTAACTGAGTTCATTTTGCAAGTTTGCTTTCTTTGATGCTATCATCATCAAAATTTTACCAATACTCCTGGGGTTGGGCTCTGTGAAGAGGTTTTGTAAGCAAAATTTGGGAAAATTAAAATCTGTGGTTGCCATATGTTAGGAAAAAGTCAGGGGAAATAAAATCTCTAAGATTAGGGAAAAGTTTGGGAATTTCACTTAAGGTTAGATAAAATTACTTCAGTTCTTTAAAAGAAGTCAGAGAGAAGTGAAATTTCAATTAAATTTGAAGCTGTTCATTTTTTCTTGGCCTTCTTCGTAAAGAAAGATGGTGACACTTTTTTTTATATTGATGCTACTCAATCCATTTAAATTGTTTAGTGCAATTAATAGAATGAATCTTGAACACCTAATGAATGATTTTAATATCTATGTATTCATCAAATTGTAATTGTAGCTCAAGATGCCATAAAGTTGTGCTCAGGTCCACTAATGAAACTGCGGCCTGTTTGTGAAGGAACATCAGAGTCAAAGAAGAAAGCTAGCAGGTGTTTTGGTAAGTCACAAGATATTATGCTTTCAGTAGAAAATGAATATGTTCTGCTGCAAGGAAACAAGTTGTAACATTCAGGAACAAGCTAGTTAAGGTGGGGGGGGGGGGACTTGATTTACTTCAGAGGACAAAATCGCAAAAGTGGTTAGTAGCAAACTTGCAATGGGGTGAAACCTCCATAAACTGCACTTTCTCCCGTTTCTGTTCACAACAGGGAACAAACTGCTATTTTGTCCATAATCTTCACACTAAAAGTACACATTACTAACTTCTGGAGTTCAATGACAAATCTTTCAGACCTGCTGCAGCCATATAAGGCAAGACCACAGACTAGTAAGCTGCTAGCTGATACGCTGGTTACAAAAGTACTTGGAGTGAAGTCGAAGATGACCAGAGAGGAGAGGGCCAAGGAGAGAGAAAAACTCAAGGAAGCAAAAAGTGAGTCAAAATCTAAAATAAAATTTAAAAGAATTTTGGTTACTGTGGGCTTTTAAGGATAATTGTTTTGTGCAAAGGAGATAGGAGAACCATGGAAATTAGTTTTCATTAACATTTCAACTCTGTCTAACTCTCAGTTTTTTTCTCTCAGTGGATCTTTTCATGAAACTGATGTACTGCAGATTGCCTCACACCATGATCACTTCATAACTTGATTTTTCTTCCATATTCCCCAGCAAAAAGACAAGAAGAAAAGATGCGACAGGCTGACATATGGGGAGACTGATGTTGATAAAATCAAAATTCTCCCAATCTTTTTTTTTTTTTTTAATAAATGTGGTAAAATGAGCATGTTTAGAGTTTCTAAAGCTTTCTTATAATTCCTGACAACTTCAGGACTTCCTTGCCATGTCAATTGTACCATGTAAATGCAATTTTTTTATCAGAAGAAATAAAATATTCAGGAACAAGGTATCAAAGGTTTCCTTTGGGTACTCAATAAATAAATTCCCCCTCATGGGTACTGAGAATTTTTTTCTTGGTCCCACACTTGTGACAAGGTGTTGTAGTTTAAGGTTTTTTTTCTTTTTCACCTCAGATCAGGAGGGTTTGAGAGAATGGGCTTGATACCCTTCCACTATCAAGATCTCTGGAGTAATTCTTCTTACTGTCTGCCATACAATTTTAATAAAGTCAGTTAGGAGAATTTGGTATCCGATCAACTAATAATCCCTTAGTGAATTAGTGACTTGTGTACTTTTTACTGTATCGATATTGTAATGAGAAATTCTGTCTTGGTCACTCATGGGAGGTTAGGGTTTAAATGATGCATTGACACAAGGGTTTGAAAATTCCAGCTAATCTTTTGAATTCTTCTACAAATAAAACCCATTGAATACAACAAAAGCTACCTTTTTTAATTCATTTAAATAATACAGAAACATAGAGTAAATGTTGTGTTACATATCATATGTGTACTGATGACAATAATCTTTTTTTCTGTTAAAGAGCTTTATTACAAACTTCTGAATGAAAGCATGAAATGATATTTTTCTAGGACAGTAAGACATTTCTGCAAAAACTTGCACACACACTCATGTAGATATTTACAAGGAAAGATGGTGATTATATCTAAAAACAAAGTTAGAGAGACCTGGTCCAGTAGTTTGAGTCTTTTCATGATATTCTATCCAGTGCTTCCATTATCACAATACTGTTTCCTCTGATCACCTGGAGAGGGACACGCACAAACATTTAATGGTAACCTCTGAATGGATAGAGCATTTAAAAACATTTAAGTGCAATTAAAAGATATCCTGGAGGCAGCATTATGCTTGGTGATATAAAATATAAAAAAGGGGGTAAGTTTCTAAAGAAACTGTGATGCTGCATCAGTAGGGAGTATAACTAGATATTTTCATTTTATCAACTGAGTTGATAACGTAAATTGGCCATCATAATCACCATGTATTGGGAACTAACTGAAACATTGTTAATGGCCTTTCTTGCTCTGATGAAGGGCTTTAACTGAAAATGTCAGTTAAAGAAACTCTTTACCACAGCCACTTTACAGGTACATGATCAACTCAGTTGATAAAACCAAATTTATCATACTTGTACAGAGCCACATAATCAGGGGTTTTACTAGCTTTTACCATACATGGCTGTGGATGGTGTAATAAGCACCTGTCCCCAGAAAAGGGACTTTAAGGGAAGACCCAAACACGTTAACCTGTTCGCAGGCTAAAAACAAGTGGTAGGAGGTTTTATAGACCATGGTAGACTGCCAGTAACCAGCTTTTAGCAAAACCCTGCATGCCATCTTTGGTTTATGTATACTGAATGGCTAAATTTACACTCCTTTATTTTGCCACCAACAAGAAAAGATTGCTTCACTATGGTAACTCATAAATTGATTCCTGGTCTAACCTTAGTTACTCATCACTTACCACCATTCCGATGTTATGTTTTTCCTGTGCTGATACCTCTTCCACTGCCTCGTCCAACACAAGGTTCATAAAAGGATCAAATCCTCTGAGTACTCCAGTCACATGTCTGCCACCATTGATTTTCACTAAAAATTAAAAATTTTGTTTGAACCCCATGCATCCAAACCTGTTATACCTCCTAGTGAGTCAACAGAAACTCTCATTCTCTAGGTAAGGGAGATTTGAAACTTGCTACTGTAACACCTGTTGTATGTCCTTCTCCACTGACTTTATTCATCATTTATTCATTCATCTGCAAAATTATTCATTGGGTGGCCGCTGCTTTAGAGTACATGAGTGCGATTGATTGTTAAACATTTACACCCTACCATCAGTATACATATTCTCCATACTGTTCTCTATATATTTCCTAAGGTAATGTTATGGAGAACTTGTTCAAAAATCAAGGGCTTCTCTGGTGGTTGATCATTTCCCTTATTCTCATGACTTTAATGTTTGAATCAACAGTGATACTGTACGGACAAATTAGAAGCCAACCACTCGTAGGGATTGAGGGGTTAAGGCGCCATGCAATTTCTCCAAAGCCCTCCTTCAGTCCATTCTTAACCATACCAACGAAACGCAATACGACACGAGATCAACACCTTACGCATATCCTGTTAATGGCTGCAATAATATTGCCTCTTCTCTACCTACTGTAGCATAGAATGTTATTGCAATGAGCACTGAACCATTATTACTTGTCAAGATTAAACCATCGAGATTTCTGATTTATCCTGATTCTTAACGATTGTACAAAAAAAACTACATTGTAATGATGCACTTACGAGATAATCTCTTGTCCATGTACCTGAAAAGAAGCAGATAAGGTTCTTTGGTCATGATAAGATTACAAACACAATCTTGAACAAGTGTAAACACTCCAGTCGCTTCCAAAAGAACAAAAGCAAGATTTTGAATTTTTAGGCAAGCATTATAGCTCTAGTCATGAAAAATTGGCTACAAGCTATTTCAACCATTTTCAACGAAAGATCAGAGACAATCGACGCCGTCATCAACCTGAACCTGGTAACGACGCACATTTGTCTTTACCTCGCTGTCACATTATCACAAAATCTGACATTTTCTGGACTAAAGAACATTCAGATAGACAAGAGGAATCATACAAAAACATACTCACTTCTTCAATTCAGGCGGATGCGTCTTACTCATGGCTGATTCAAGCGATTTCAGCTACGCGCTGAGTGTGTTGTTTCTAGTTCAAGAACGTTCACAGACGTTCTTGAGCCGACAGGCTCAACGTGTTGCGGTAATTGTACGTCGCAGCGCCTGCGTCATGTCATTGCTCCGAAAGCAACCGTTCGCAGTTTTCAAATCAGGCTGTACTCTTTACCAATTGTTGGTTTGTCCTTCAGTTTATTAATGGTTCATGATGGATGCGTCATTTGGTGTTTATCAGAACCTACCTTTTGGTCGTAAAAACGCGAAGAGAAACAACATATGTTATCAAGTTCTTCGTAGATCTTTACACGTGCATGGATCCTCCGTTCGAAGAGATCTCAAAATTATTCGATCTATGGTACAGAAAGAAGGCTCTAAATTTATTGAAGTCTGGAGAAATAATACTAAGCATCCTGTTGGATTCGACAGTCAACATTTGTTCTTCGACAAATTCAGGACGTGCTACACCACGTTTGGTTCAGAAGGAAAACCGGAGTTGCTTTACAAACTTGACGCTTGTGACACTTCTAAGAAGATCGAATCTGCGCTTGTCTTTGAAAGCCCTGTTGATCAGCACTCGTATCTGAACTGCACTAAATATCAGGGTTATAAACCTTGCTTGCTAGCAGTTACTGCAGACGGCTGGTTAGTCCGTCATGATTTAAAAACCGGAGATGTTTTACAGAAAGTTTATTTGTCAAAAAACTACAGATTCAAACATCTACTTTGGGAGTCTGATTTGCAGCGAGTTGTGCTAAAATCAGTCCATGTCCTCTCACAGAGCAGACCTTTAATGTTTTTATCAATTTTCTCCATGGCTCCTTTAGAGTTCCAGGCTCTCGTGCCTGTTGAAAAATCTATCTTCGGTCAGGATATTGTTGATGCAGCTGCAAGTAATGGATTTTTGGTGATTATGCATCATTCAAACAGAATTAAATTTTACAGTATGCTAGAAGTCATAGAGAACTACAGTTTCGTTACAAAACTGGGTCAAAGTATTAAGTCATCAGAAGGATCATCTATCGTTGGAAGTTATCCAGATGGGCTCCCTGTAAATGTATCATTTAGTTCAAAGCCTGTGGTCTTGTTTGAGATTTCTAGCAATCAGCATGTCATCTCATTTGGAGGATATCCATGGCATTACATTTCTTGCCCTCAGCCTCACAGCAGTGCATTTCATGTTTGTTCAGTGAGAGATTTGAAACTTGCAAAGAGAGGAATATTGGAAATGAATATTTTATCAGTTGAACCGGACCAGGCATACTTTCATGCTGATAACAGTGGACGTATTCTTCACATCGGTTCCCATGAAATAAGGTAAGAGGAGAGGGCCTGGCAACCTTGTTTACCCTTAACACCCTAACATCAGTATGGATATTCTCCATATTGTTAGAGGGAAGGCTAATTGCTCTGACAAAGGGCTAGCACTCAAAGCATCAGCTTTTAAACTCTTTACAGTTTAAATTACCCTGTTATACTCTCCCACTGATGCAGCACCACAGTTTCTTTACAAACTTACCCCTTTTACTATTATAAGTGCTCTTTAGTCTCAAATTTTCTGGATGGTGAGTCCAAGGTTTCTCTTTCAACTTATAGGTTTCTCTTTGATGGCAAAAGTTTCTGATTAATCCTCATGGCATTGAAAGGGGTAATAATTGGGATTAAAAAGGGGGCTGGGGACAATTGCTTATTGCTACCCTATGAACTAACCTCCTTCCCAACTCCTGAGAGTCACAGACTAGCATCTTATTTTCTCACCAAATGTAACGGGTGAATCAAACATCTGAAGTCATTAGAATATAAGAAATGATCACCAACTGAAGATGCTCTTGACTTTTGATTGTTGAAGAAACTTCCTCCATCACTACTATAGGAAATTCATAGAACAGTATATAAGAGAACCGTCATGCTGATGGTCAGGTGTAAACAGTTACAAGCATAACATTTTTATTTTTTTTTTTATGTTGAAAACTTGGAAACTTGTTTCAAATGGTCAACCCATGTTGTATAGTGCTAGACTGCTATGCAGGAGATAAAGGGTTCAAGCCCCAGGCCGAACTAACACTCAGGTCTTAACCCTTTAACTCCCAAGATATGATTGTTAATTCTCCTCTCTCCCTGCCACACATTTCCTTGTAAATTAGTCATGAGAATTTAATGTTAGATCACAATAACAAATTCTACCAGATAAGTTTGAATATTCTCATTAACTGTTTGCTGGATAATGTAAGGATATTATAGGGAGAAGTTTCATGTTGATCACTTCTGGGAGTAAAAGGGTTAAATCAACTGAGGAGAATGTGCTGCCTTTGCTATGACATTCCCAAATGGTTAGACATTTTAGTCTTCTTGAATGTGGACAATTAATGGTAGGCCCTGTCTATTGCATATTCTCTGTACTGTACTGTACTGTACCCACACATGTCTCACAAAGAATAAGGAATATAGCTCCAGATGTAATTGTCTGGCCTTGTTATCATTTATACAGGCCCACATTCAAATCAGCTTTAAGCTGAAATGGGCCAGCCTGTCCAACTATTGCAAGTAAATCAATAAAGTAATTGTTTTTATTATTATATGTCACAGGTGTTTGAAACTGTGTCAAACAGAGCCCATGACACCAGGATTTGAACTCAGACACTGTTTTGTGCTTGATCTAAAAAAGGAGGAAAGTGCAAGTGAAGGACCCAAGTTCACTTCTTCTGGTCGGGAAATTAAAGCCAGGACAGATCAAGTTTTCAACAATCCTGGCTTTGAAACAATTTTAGACGTGGATTATGAAGATGAACTGGATGTTCTGGTTGTTCTCTCTGCAAATGCATCAAGCGATACACCCTGTGGAGTTATAGGACTCTATGATAATCAAACTGGATTGCTTATTCAAGAAACAACTGTCAGTAACTGGGTAGAAGATGCTGATCATTCGATCATGATGGAAAAAGACACAATAGTTCATATCATCAAGGACTACCAGTTCTGTTCAAGAAAGTTTTCATGCACAGTTTATAGGCTAAATCCCAGCTGAGGAGTCATTTCTCTTTTCTTTTCCATGCAGGGTAGTATAAAACTGTTTATCATCAGACAATTAACAATTGGTTCATATGTCAGTGTGCCTTCATTGAGATATGAAGCATGTGGGAAGTTTGGAGAGCATGAAAGATGCGTAAGAGTTGCTCGAGGTGTAGCCTCGAGCAACTCTAGCTTCTTGAGTGCTCTCCAAACTTCCCACATGCTTCATATCTCGATGAACGCACAGCTGACGTATGAACCAATTGTTTTATAACATTTTCAACCTGAAGGAAAATTTTTTTCTTGAAGGATTTGTTTGCTGACATCATGAGCATGCACAATAGGAATATGATGCATGCTCACACAATTGAATTTGATTGGACAAATTTACTAGCTATGTTAAAATGTCTGGTAGTGTCAGATGTGTCCAGGCAAATATTTTACCAACTAATGAGTCAAATGGGGACCAGCTTGGACAACAAAAAAATGCATTTTTTCTAGTAGCAAGAGACTTATTTGAAAGTGAAAAATTGTACTTAAAAATGTTTAACTATATTTGTTTTTGGTCCAACCAAAGGAAGACTTAGTCAGACATGTGTCCTTGTGAGAAGGAAATACTTTTTGAAGCCTTGTCTGATACCAAGTTATGAGAGCTGTGTGACAATAGTTTTGGTGGTTCAGGGTGTTCCATAGGCCACAGAGATCAGAGACTTCTCTAGCTACCACTGAGAGTTCTCTGTAATGATGGCATTTGGTAGTTTTTATTCAGACATAGAGCAGTTGTGCAGTATACTCTTCTGTTACTGTATACTTTTCTTCTGTTTTCACATTTCTCAGTGGTAACCCTTGGCTGATAATTTTCACAGATTCCTGTGTGTTATTTAGAAAAAGAACCTAAATAAATCAGTTTTCATTGTAGAAAAAACACCAAATAGTTACATTATAAATCAGAAGGATTGAGGATCAGGTTATGGAAAGCAAAGACTGTCTCAAAGTGCAAATGAATATATTGAAAATTTCCGGTTAAATTTATCATGCACAGACAACTTTGTACATGTAGCTTTAAGTTTATTGTTTTTAAAAATTTGTGGAAACTGATTTGGAGAGATTGCTTCATTTTTGACAGCTTTTCAAGGAATTTTTGGGATGTCATTCAACAATTCTCAATTCAAAGACATCTCAGAAAATGGCAGTGAAAAAAAAGTTGTCCAGTGCTTAGATTCATCCAAATTTTAATTTACATATTCAATACACATTTAAGTGATTTCTTTCAGATGTGTTTGTGGCTTCTCACCTTGATTCATATCAGGAACAATTCACATCACTTTAAGAAGGATCTGGTTCCTTACCAAAAAAGAAAAATGAAAGAAAAGTATGAAAATTGATGATTATCAAGCAGTGAACATAGTAAAATGATAGTCTAGTGATTTCTATAGTCCTTGTCTATGTATATAGTTATTACCTCTGTTAGAGAAAAAAATCATTTGCAGAAGATAACTGATCAGAAGGATCTCTTCCTTGACAAATGGTTGTTATTTTATCTTAATTTTTCCAAAATGTATCCCCACTTCATCTCCACATGAATTAAAACATTTCCTTTATACTTCAACATATATTTTGAATTCCAACCTCACCCCTTCCCCCACATGGAAATTGTGCCCTTCAATGGGTAGTAATGGTTGATTCTAGAACCACCTTTTATGATTCACATTTTGAGTGTTACGAGCATCTGAAAGTGCAGAAAAGCAGAAAAGGCAATTTCCTTTCAAACACTTCAGTGTTATATCGTCCTGTCTTATCTACGTTTATTACGTTAGTAGTTTCTCTAATCTTTGCCTTCGGCGTAATGTTATAAAACTGTTAATAACTGTCCAGGATCTGATATTTTCTATTTTTGAGCTGAAGTCACTATATTTACCATTAAGTATTTTGGGCTGTGCCATTAATTGAGTCAGACCGCTTCTATACCATTTAGTATTTTTGAGCTGAAGTCGCTATATTTACCATCAAGTATTTTGGGCTGTGCCTTCTTAGGAAAACACCCTAATGAGATATTGTTAAATAGGCGGTCTGACTCAGTTAATCACAATGCGTATATATGATGTTTGAAGTGTTTGGGTACACAGACAGCATTATGATTTTCTTCACGAATATTTTTTTTCCTGCGCGAAATCGTCTCTTTCAACCAGGATCTTGCATGGAAGATCGACAACAAGAAAAAAAATACAATTTCCCCCTGGAAAACGATTAAACTCATCTTCATTCTGCTCTAATGTCATTATTGTGGGGGTGTTCAGAGATCTCAGGTCACGATAAATGTCCATAATCAGGCTCAAAGGAAATCAGTTGCGGTATTTACGCCTACTCAACTTACCAGCCCGTGAAATATGATTTCCCGAAGACACTGACAAATATTTTACTTCTGATATTGAAACCATCCGGATGAGATCCGTTTCCTAATCGAAACTAAAAGCTAGGTTTTTGTTCTTTACTTAATTTTATCGCATCATACTTCTAACTTCGGCATCGTTTTAATATTCATAAAAATGTCAACAGCTAATGAAAATGACAACTTCCGGTTTTCGCGAAACTTCTACGAGCATTATTTTTGCTTCCAGGCAGATGAGCAAAAGTGTCGCGACGAAGAACTATCGGAAGTGTTTCCCCCTATTTTAAGTGAATTTGACCTGGGTTTGGACGAAATTCTTATCACGAAAGTGCAAAGTTTTCTTATCTCTATCTGCGAAACAATCCTGAAGTGAACGTCGGGGTAAAAGATTTAAATGCATTTCTTCAAGACGAATTTTATAGCAATCGCAGCTTCACGTCATTATATTAAAGAGGAAGTGTTTTTTTAGAAGCCTTTTGTGCCATACGTTATCATAGGTTAGTCAATTTTTCTCTTCTTTTTTTCACACTGCATAATGATTTAAATGTAGAACATTAATTCGGTGCACGATTTCGATGTCTAGATTGATCTGGAAAATTTCGTTACGGTTGATGAATAGAAGGCAAAGAAAGCTGATCTTTTTGCTGTCAGATGTTATTCAGGATATTTCTGATTGAAGTGGTACATGTCTAGCACCCTGTGTGGTTGAAGAGAGCTTTCTGTAACTACTTAATCATTACGCTGTCCACTTCCGTCACGATCGTAGTAAATTGAAACCACCAAAATAATTTTGACGCCTAGATTCCACATGAAACACGTCATCACAGCCTCATTTACATTTGATGAAGTCACAGTTTTCGAAATTCAATAGGTTTGGACACTGGCGAACGGTTTTCTTTCGCTCCGTCAGTTTTAATCAACATACGAATTACTAGCCGCCTTGAAAGTGTTTACTATCTATAGAGGTCATGGTCTAAAGGGAAGGATTGCTTGGTAAGTTTAACTGATCTCGTTGTCGAGTTCAACGCGCCATTTTATATGTGTAATAGTGAAGGATCGATGTTGTAGGTGATGTCATTTCCCTCGATGAATTGAATCTGTGACCTCCGGTAAATTTTTTTTACTCCACATTGTCGCAATTATTTTGGCTTAGAGAAGAAAGGCAGTGGCTTTCCTTCAGAGTGTTACCGAGCTCCGTTTGAAGGACCGAGTAATTGTTTCTAACCTGCAGAGGAAATTAAAGGCGCATCCTCGAGCGGCTGTGTTGTCCGAGAAAAGTCCTCGTCGTTTTACTGGTTGACGCAAGGTCTATTCTTGAAAAGAAAGGAGGACGGCTCTATAGGCTTCTTATTTGACTGGAATAAATGAAAACCTTGTTCGTTAGCGTGACGATAACTTTACAAAATCCATCGAGGCCTTTAACAAACAGCTGAGAATATTAAAACTGAAGTGCCAGATCTAGATCTGCGACCTTTGATATTCCGAGACGGCACGAGAGTTATTGCAGCTTGTACGTAATAGCTGACGCTCATTTGAATAAATAGAAAGTGTTCCACTGGCGTTTATAATTCTCCTAATTGAAATCTAATCACAAGACTCGTGTTACTGTCTAAGGTATTACAGTACGTGTAAAGCCTACGGATTTACAGTATTAAATTCGATCTTCCATGACTGTGCTTTCTCGTAAGCCAAGTGCATGCTTAAGTGATTTTGTCAGCCTTTGGTGGTGAAAATCATATTAGATACCGCAGGAGAGTTCTTGACTTGTTGTCAGTAATATTCGCTTTGCTTGTGAAGATCCATTCGACTGTTCTGTTCGGCAAATGTTAGCAGTCGCTCCCCAAAAGAATTCGGAGTCAGCCAGTTTTTGACAAAAGGCCGCTAATTTTCAACCCTCAGGCTTGTTTACCATGTGAAGAATATATATTTTTGACTGATTCAATATTGAACGACTTTCGTAGAGAAAATATCAAATAACTGTTAGAAGCGAGGATTAGGGCAACTTTAGATATGGTAATTCAGTTACTGAAAGTGGTTCGAAGACATTTCTTGAGTGGATGGACTAATTTTAGACAAGTGTTTTGAAGTGATGATTAAAATGTATACTTACATCATGATTTAATATTTAAATTTTGTTATAAGCTAATTCTCCATTCGGTTAGACTGCTTCCAGCTATAATGAAAATATGTCTTGGGGATAACATTTAGTTTTCCATTAATCTTTTTACAGATCTATAAAGTATGATTCTTTCCTAAAATGTGAGTTAAAAGCATTTTAAGAATTTACAGCTTCAGAAGTCATACATGTCATTGCATGTGTCCTCAATGAAAAAAAGGTATATTACCATCATCAATACAAACTGAAGAAACCATTTCTCATTCAATTGTTACTTAATGTGGATGTCATTGTCCAATACATTTAACAGATGTAGGAATGCATATTTAATTTCTTTCAAATTTCTTTCAAATTTCTTTCAAATTGTTGTGAAATGTAGATTCCATAAAAATGTGAGGTTAGCAAGAAACAACTTTGAAATTGAAATTTTCTATTTCCATCTAGAAAAACTCATGATTGCTCCAGGGAGGTAAACATGGTATATGTTTTTTCCTGAACAATATTATACAATGATAGTATTTGGAAGGGATATAGATATATATGTGGGCAATCCATTTTCATTTTTTTTTTGCCATTATTAACTGTACATATTAAAAAAAAATATCCACCTAAATCACTTTATATCTTTGTTTATAGAAACATGCTATTGTGAGATACTTGTTGCAT